CGGGTGGGGGTGCCCGCCGAGGAGATGGGCGAGGGGGGACCGATGGAGGGGGCGACACCCCCCTCCTCACCCCCCTCCTCGCCCCCTTCCTCGCCTGGCACCCCCGCGCAAAACCGACCGACACCCTCCTTCCTGGCCTTCCTCCTCGCCCCTCCCTTCGGCTCTGCTCCCCCACCCCAGGCCGACCGACGCCCCCCTCCTGGCCCCGACATCCCCCCCTCCCCATGAAACTTCGTCTTTTCGGATTTCCCACCCCGCGAGATCGCGCCCAAAACCGACCGACGCCCCCCTCTTCGCCCTCCTCCTCGCCCCTCCCCTTCGCCCCCTCCTCGGCCCGGCAACCCCGCCCACGACGGGCACCCCCGCCCGCAACCGACCGACGCCCCCCTCCAGGCCTTCCTCCTCGCCGCCCCGCTTCGGCCCGGCACCCCTGCCCAAAACCTCGTGGCCTCGACATCCTCACCCCATGAAGCCTCTTCTCCTGGACCCCCCCACCCCGCGATTTGTCGCCCCAATCCGGCCGACGTTCGGTCTTGGGCGAGAAATCGCGGGGTGGGAGGTCCCGCGAGAAGAAGTTTCATGTGGTGGGGGCGTCGGGACCAGGAGGGAGGCGTCGGTCGGTTTTGGGCGGGGGGGCCGTGCCAAAGGGGGTGGGGCGAGGAGGAGGGCGAGGAGGGGGTTGTCGGTCAGTTGTTGGTGGGGGTGCCGGGCCGAGGAGGGGGGCGAGGGGGGGGGGTCGGTCGGTTCGGGGCGAGAAATCGGGGGGTGGGGGGGGTCCAAGAGAAGAGGTTGCATGGGGTGAGGATGTCGGTGTCAGGGGGGGGGGGTCGGTCGGTTTTGGGCGGGTGTGCCCGGCCGAAGGGGGGGCGAGGAGGAGGGCCACGAGGGGGGTGTCGGTCGGTTTGGGGCGGGGGGCTCGGTCGTGGGTGGGGGGCGAGGAGGAAGGCGAGGGGGAGGGCGAGGAGGGGGGCGTCGGTCGGTATTGGGGAGAGATCGCGGGGTCGGGGGTCCCAAGAGAAGAGGTTTCGCGGGGTGGGGACGTCGGAGCCCGGAGGGGGGTGTCGGTCGGTTTGGGGTGGGGGTGCCGGGCCGAAGAGGGGGGGGCGAGGAGGAGGAGGGCCAGAAGGGGCCGACTCCTTAACTCAACGTTCCCGCCCGTGGTCTGCCGAATTCCGTTCCTCTGTCTCTCGTTATCTCTCCTCTCTTCTTCTCCCCCTTCTCTCTCTCTCTCTTGACTCTCTCTCTCCTCCTCCCTTTCTCCTCCTCCCTCTCTTGACTCTCTCTCTCTCTCTCCTCCTCTCTTCTCCCTTCCTCTTTCTCTCCTCCTCCCTCTCCTCCTCCCTCTGTCTCTCTCCTTCCTCTCTTGACTCTCTCTCTCTCTCTCTCCTTCTCCTCTCCTCCCCTCCCATTCTATGTACCCCGCTCCGCCACAAAAGGAATATATATATATATGTAAATCCGCTTCCCCCGTGTCCACCTCCGCCTCCTATTCTTCCTCCTCCTCATCATCTTTCTCCTCCTACTCCACACAAGGAATCCACGTGGAGGCCCCTCCACATAAGGGGTCGATATTGTGAAGGGCCTTCCAAATAAGGAATCAATGTGTGCAGGCTCCTTCACATAAGGAACTCATCTATGAAGGCCCCTCCCACATAAGGATTCAACATGTTGGAGGCCCCTCCACACAATACATCAATATGGAGACCCCTTGCACATAATGAATCAATATGCGGCGGTCCCTCCACAGACAAACTCAATATGTGGAGGCCCTTCCACATATCGAATCTATATTCGAAGGCCCATCCACATAAGAAATCCATGTGGAGACCACTTTGACCTAAGAAATGTCCTTCCACAGACGCAATCAACATTGGGAGGTCCCTTCCACATAAGGAATCAATCTGTGGAGGACTCCCCCCCTACAAGAGGAATCACTATGCGCGAGGCCCCTTGCACATAAGGGAAAAATATTGAGGAGGCCCCTCCACCAAAGGAAACAATATAATCGTTCTCCTCCTCATCTTTCTCCTCCTACTCCTTCTGCTCCTTCTTATCCTCAACCCCTGCGCCAGGGCGGGAGGAGGAGGGGGAGGAGCAGGAGGAGGAGGAGGAAAAGGAAATCGCCCGCCTCAAAAGAACTCAATTGGTGGAGGTCCCTCCACAGACGGAATCAACATGTGGAGGCCCCTCAATTTAAGGAACCGATAATTCGAATGCCCATCCACATAAGGAATCAAAATGTGCAGACCCCTCCCAACATAAGGAATCAACAAGTGGGAGGACCCTCCACAAAAGAAATCAATATGGAGACCCCTTGCACATAGGGAATCAATATGTGGAGGTCCCTCCACAGACTGACTCAACATGTGGAGGTCCCTTCCACATAAGGAATCAATCTGTGGAGGATCCCCCCCTAAAGGAAACAATATCATCTTTCTCTCCTTCTGATTCTTCTTCTCCTCACCCCTGCGCCGGGGTGAGAGAAGCAGGGGGGGGGGAGGAGCATGAGGAGGAGAAGGAAAAGGAGATCGCCCGCCACCGAACGAATCAATATGTGGAGGTCCCTCCACAGACGGAATCAATATGTGGAGGCCCTCCACATAAGGAATCGATATTAAAAGGCCCATCCACATATGGAATCCATATGTGCAGGCCTTTTCACTTAAGGAATTAATATGTGAAGGCCCCTTCCACATAAGGAATGAACAAGTTGGAGGCCCCTCCACATAAGAAATCAATATGGAGATCCTTGCACATAAGGAATCAACATGTGGAGGTCCCTCCACAGACGGAATCAACATGTGGAGATCCCTTCAACATAAAGAAACAATATGTGGAGGATCCCCCACAAGAGGAATCAGGCCCTTTCCACATAAGGATTCAACGAGTGGGAGGCCCCTCCACACAAGATATCATTATGGAGGCCCCTTGCACATATGGAATCATTATGTGGAGGTCCCTCCACAAATTGAATCAATATGTGGAGACCCCTACACATAAGGAGTCGATGTTTGAAGGCCCTTCCACATAAGGAATCAATATGTGCACGCCCCTTCACATAAAGAGATGATATGTGAAGGCCCCTTCCACATAAAGAATCTACAAGTGGGAGGCCCCTCCACATAAGAAATCAATATGGAGATCCCTTGCACACACATAGGGAATCAATATGTGGAGGTCCCTCCACAAACGAAGTCAACATGTGGAGGTCCCGTCCACAAAAGGAATCAATATGTGAAGGATCCCCCACACAAGGAAACAATATCATCTTTCTCCTCATTTTTCTCCTCCTACTCCTTCTGCTCCTTCTTCTCCTCAACCCCTGCGCCAGAGTGGGAGAAGGAGGGGGAGGATGAGCCGGAGGAGGAGGAGGACAAGGAGATCGCCCGCCACAGAACGAATCGATATGTGAAGGTCCCTCCACAGACGGAATCAATATGTGAGGGCCCCTCACATAAGGAGTCGATATTTGAAGGCCCATCCACATAAGGAATCAATATGTGCAGGTCCCTTTCACAGAAGGAATTAATATGTGAAGGCCCCTTCCACACAAAGAATCAACAAGTGGGAGGCCCCTCTACATAAGAAATCAAGATGGAAATCCTTGCACATAAAGAATCAATATGTGGAGGTCCCTCACAGACAGAATCAATATGTGGAGGTTCGGACGTCAGAAAACATTGTAAAACGCATCGTTTCTGAAGGGTGGACTGATGAAATCGCTGTGTTTTACAATGTTGTTTTTGTTTCGGAGGTCAGAAAGCATTGAACAAAACAGCAAACAGCATTTTGAAGCCGGATTTGTGAAACCATTGTGTTTTACAATGCTTTGTTGATTCGGGTGTCAGAAGGCATGGCAAAACACTATGTTTTTGGATGGGTGATTGTTGAAACGCTGTGTTTTATTATGTTTTTTTTGTTTCGGGGGCTAGCAAACATTGTAGAACATAGTGGTTTGAAGCTCGGATTGCTGAAAACAGTGTGTTTTGCAATGTTTGGTTGCTTCAGGTGTCAGAAGACATGGCAACACACCATGTTTTTGGATTGGTGACTGTTGAAACGTTGTGGTCTACAATGTTTTTTGTTTCGGGTGTCAGAACAGATTGTAAAACATGTTGTTTTTGGACGGAGGGCTGTTGAAACGCTGTGTTTCACAATGTTTGTTTTGTTTCGGGCGTTAGAAAACATTGTAAAACACAGTGTTTTGGATGTCGGACTGCTGAAAACAATGTGTTTCACATTTTTAAAAAATATAGCAAATAGAAAACCTGAAAAATATTGGTTTCTGGTTGTGCGACTGCTGAAAATGCTGTTTTGTGCAATGGTTTTTAGTTCGGAAGTACGCAACACATTGTCAACTACAGCGTTCCAGAGGTCGGAGGCACCCGACGGACGCCTCAGAAAAAGTTTTGAGGGGGGCAAAAAAATAAAATCCCCCAGAGGGCCGATTTGTTTGTTCGGGCCCCGCCCCACCGCCCACCCCAAAAAAAAACTGCCCTCGGGCGATTTTTTCTGCCCCCCTCAAAACTCAGGAATCCTTTTGAGAGCCGGAGGAGGGAGGACGGAGGAGGAGGAGGAGGTGGAGGAGGAGGAGGAGGAGGAACGGGGAGGAGGAGGAGGAGGGGGAGGAGGAGGAGGAGGAGCAGCAGCAGCAGCAGGAACACGCGGAATTGGAGGAGGAGGCGGGGGCGGAGGAGGAGGAGGAAGAGGAGGAGAGAGAGAGAGAGAAACAAAGAGAAACAGAGAGAAACAGAGAGAGAGAGAGAGAAATAAAATAAAGAAAGAGAGAAACAGGGAGAGGAGGGAAGACAGAGAGAGAGAGAGAGACAAATAACCAAACAACAAAGGGAATCAACAAAAAAAGGGCGGGAACGTTGAGTCAAGAAGTCGCCCGGAGGGGGGGTGTTGGTCGTTTTTTTGAAGGGGGTGGGCTGGGCCGAGGAGGGGGGCGGGAAACGGGGGCGCCGGTCGGTTTTGGGATGACAAAGGGGGCGCTCCAGGAAGCGCTCGAGTACAACCTTCTGTTCAGGTGCCTGGACTCGGTTGTGGTGACGTCGCTCTTCAGCAAGAGCGAGGCGAAGTACTCTATCGGTAATAGCTTTCACAGTGGAATGCGCTGCCTGATCTATTCTACGGTTAATATTTCCAAAGACGTCCATGGGAGAGACATCTACTACTACGGGGAGAGTTCTGTGGTGTTCATCTATGAACAGTACGGGTTCCAGTTTTGCTACCGATGGCTTGCCCGCCACCGCGAGTGGTACAAGTTGCAGCACGCTCTTCATGGGAATGGAACTTCGACGCTCCAGCTCACGAAGAAGCAACAGAAGGCCCTGATGGCACAACAGGGCGGCAGAGTCAAGAGTGCTCTCACCAGCACCCCCGCGAAGATGATGACCAGGGTTATCTCGGCGCTCGAGTTTGACTCGATCGAGAAGCCGCAGGCGATCTACGACCACTTGCGGACAATTTCTATGGAGAAGATGAAAGGTATCTCGCAGTTACCTATCAAGGACGTCTCGGAGGCGATCCAGAAGTGGTTGAAAGATGTTCCCCTAGGCACGAAGCCTAAACCGACGCTCGCGGAGAATTGGCTAGCAGCGGGAGGGGGCAACGACAAGCCAAAGAAGAAGAAGGTCAAGCCCCCAGCCCCGCCTTCCTGGGCAGAGACGGCGACGCTCGACCCCGACGACTGGGCTCTTGACGCGGCTCGAGGACTTCCCTCGACTACAGAAGCTCACGACAAGATCTACCTCATCACGGCAGAGCAGCTTGCCGCGCGTCAAAGTGCCGACGAGCGGCGGGCGGGCGAACGCCCCGCGGCCTCCCTCGCGATCATCTCGGCGAAGGGCCCGCAGCAGATCTCCAAGCACTTGATTGTTTTGGCTGGCAGACGTGAGTTGGCGAGTCATTTGAAGCATATGAATGTTCCCCTTATATTAGTGGACGCCGTGCAATCAAAACCCTTCTCGCTTGGACAAGCGGAGGTGTCGCCGACGCGGGCGTTGCCCCCGAAGGGGGTTCCTACTGCGATCGCCTGGGAAGGCGAGCGGGTCCCAACTCTGATGCAGATCGCTATCCTCGAGACGGCAGCCTCGTCAACGGCGTTCAAGGACTCGTTGAAGCTCCACGGGCAATCGCGGAAGGCGAGAGATGCAAGAGCTGACGGCGCTGCCAGGGCGAAACGATATGAAACAATACCTCCATGGCGTGCACTCGACGCGGAGCTTCCAGCTATCGTACGCACGAAGGTTTTGTTCGACGCTGTGTGGAGAACATCGCGGCATGGAGTGGCCGATTATTCAACGAAGAAGTTGTGGGCCGGAGAGTCATCAGTGGCCTCTTCAAGCCCCCCCCCTTCCAAGGCGGCCGCGCTGCGAACATTGTCAGGTATTGGTGGAATCAACATGTGGAGGGCCCTCAATTTAAGGAACCGATAGTTCGAATGCCCATCCACATAAGGAATCAAAATGTGCAGACCCCTCCCAACATCAGGAATCAACAAGTGGGAGGACCCTCCACAAAAGAAATCAATATGGAGACCCCTGGCACATAGGGAATCAATACGTGGAGGTCCCTCCACAGACGGAATCGACATGTGGAGGCCCCTTCCACATGAGGAATCAACATGTGGAGGGCCCCCCCCTTAAAGGAAACAATATCATCTTTCTCCTCGTCATCTTTCTCCTACTCGTTCTGACCCTTCCCCCCCCCACCGCTGCGCCGGGGCCAAAGAAGCAGGGGGGGGGGGGGGGGGCATGGGGAGGAGAAGGAAAAAGAGATCGCCCGCCACCGAACGAATCAATACGCGGAGGCCCCTCCACAGACGGAATCAATATGTGGAGGCCCCCCGCATGAGGAGTCGATATTTAAAAAGGCCCATCAGGAGTCGATATTTAAAAGGCCCATCCACGTAAGGAATCCATATGTGCAGGCCTTTTCACATAAGGAATTCATATGTGAAGGCCCCTTCCACATAAGGAATGAACAAGTTGGAGGCCCCTCCACATAAGAAGTCAATATGGAGATCCTTGCACATAAGGAATCAACATGTGGAGGTCCCTCCACAGACGGAATCAACATGTGGAGATCCCTTCAACATAAAGAAACCATATGTGGAGGATCCCCCACGAGGAATCAGGCCCTTGCCACATGAGGATTCAACGAGTGGGGCGCCCCTCCGCACAAGATATCATGATGGAGGCCCCTTGCGCATATGGAATCATTATGTGGAGGTCCCTCCACACATTGAATCCAGATGTGGAGGCCCCTACATAGAAGGAGTCGACGTTTGAAGGCCCTTCCACATAAGGAATCAAACTTTGCACGCCCCTTCACATAAAGAAATAATAAGTGAAGGACCCTTCCACATGAAGAATCTACAAGTGGGAGGCCCCTCCACATAAGAAATCAATATGGAGACCCCTTGCACGCGCATAGGGAATCTATCTGCGGAGGTCCCTCCACAAACAAAATCAACATGTGGCAGGTCCCGTCCAC